TATACTTATAGCGCGAGAGAGAGACAAGACATATATATATATAATAATATATATATAGCGCGAGAGAGAGACAAATAGTATATATATATATATATATGCGAGAGAGAGACAAATAGTATATATAATATATTATATATATATATATATATACATATATACATATACACATGTGCATGTGCGTGTTTTTCGGCTTACCTGTTTGCTTATTGAAATTCAATCAGGAACTTCACCGTATGAAATGTATACAAGTTTGGTTAGTCAAAAGAAATCAGACGTTCTCAATTTGGTTTGATGTTCTGTATACACTAAATACTACGCCATTTGGACAATTCTTCGACTGTCGAGCATGTTGTAAGCAACCTTTGCATCGTCGAATATTAGAACTTCACTTCCAACGAAACTGTTTCGGGTTACTCAAGATGAATATCTCTATTTAATTGATATAGACTTCTGATGCCTATTCCTATTCACGATTGATATAGGCTTTTGATGCCTATCCTTATTCAACCTTTGTTGCTCGATTATAACGATCGTTCGGTTCCGTACGTCCACTTTTCCTACATCCTCGAGCGACCGAGGACCCACGCTTAAACCCTACACTCCGTCACAGGTCACTGGTTTATGTACACAGTCACCACCGCATGTATGTTCTTCCTGGGCACGTTGGCCTGGTGCTACGACTCTCGGCTGATGGGCTTCATCTACCTCGGCTTTTGCGGTGTCTACCAGGCGATGGTGCTAAGAGTGCTCAAGTCTACCCAGCACTTCTTCCATGACAAAGGTATGAATGTGAATAGATGCAAGCTGTTCAGTATAAGAAGCTATGAATTTGCCCTACGTTTGTATTTATGTATACTTACATGCATGTCTGTATTACCTTTAATGGGTCGATGACCTATAGAGAATATATGTCCTGGCAATATTGGCTGAAGTGGTTTGTTGGCACAACAAGCCCCTATCACAATCACCTTGTGGTGCAGATTCGTGTATGTATGTCACTTCTTGCCATAGAAACCATACACACAATATTTCTCACAAAGACGCACGTATGTGCACGTATATATTTACTATATCAGATTCACTCGTACCGATCAACAGTCGAATAATACTCTCACACAAACTTTGTTTATATGCTCCCAACAGAGGAAGCATTACAGGGCATCAAGTACGGCATCTTGTGCACAGCCGTGTGCCTGTTCTTCAGCTTCGGCGTCATGTCTACGCTCGAGGATCCAAAACATGTGAACCCCCTACACAATACAGCGGAAGAACCTATCAGCCTAGACGACCTTCCTCCGCCACCCCCTCTTTCCGACGACGAGGATGATATGGACGTGCTTCCCCCCGCGCCGTCCATCCCCGATGAATTGCCTCCTCCCGTGGCCGCCCCCACAGGTATGGTACTCCACTAGTATATTGTCGAAGAAGTGTATGGAATATACGTATGTGTGTATCTGTACAGGCTTGATATGTGTGTGTGTGTGGCTGTATACATGTACTTCCTTATATGCGTGTCTGCAGATGGGCGCACTCGCACTGACACTGTCCGAGGACTTACTTTCATAGCAGCAGCCACACCGGTATTCATAGAAGCTGGATTCTAATTTGAACATGTATGGAATGTATCTGTCTGTGTCTGTGATACTAATTCCCATGTGTGCGTATGAACTTATCTATGAGTATGCATGAAAGTTTTGTCTAAAGTTGTGTGCTCTCGCACTCACAACTTCCCATCTTTTTGAGCTGTCCCCACCCATAGCGCGCCGATAGGTATATGCAATTTATCTGTCTGTGTCTGTGATACTTATTCCCATGTGTGCGTATGAACCTATCTTTGTGTATGCATGAAAGTTTTGTCTAAAGTTGTGAGCACTCGCACTCACAACTTCCCATCTTTTTGAGCTGTCCCCACCCATAGCGCGCCGATAGGTATAATTTCCCACAAGCCTCACCTCAAGGTAAACACAAACTGTATGTGCGTGTATCCATATATGCTCGTACTTTCGCGTGTGCTTAAAATTATGTGTATGCTATATATGTAGACTAGAATATTCTCACCTGCCTGTATAATTCAAAGAACCCATCTCCTGTTGCCGCATCTACCTATGAGTATTGACGCTGATGTACTTATTACCCAAATGGCCATCCGCTCTGGCTATGCGCGTTTCCACGTGCGTCTCTACAGTCACTACGAGGTCAAGAAAATCAGAAGAACTCGCGCGCCCGGCTGTGCCTAAACCTGCACAAGCGTTAGGTAAGCAAGTGCCTACGAACACCCAACCCGTGACGAAGGCGGCAGGCGGATCAAGTTTCTTAGACGACATCAAGCGGGGTATGTAGGATTTGTCAAAGCGATAGAGTGTTGAGTGGTATGCTCCTCACCGATTGACCTGGGGATTGTTGATCAGACGATGATATGGTCGGAATGGTTACTTACGGAATAGGTTTTAATGCGTTTTTTAAAGAAGAAGAAAATAGGTCCCTACTACTGTTGGAACTATCAACGTCGAGAGTCATATGATTTCGTCTCAGATCACACTTCGACATTTATTCGAACATACAATTATATTGTACACCCTGACAGTGTTCTAAGCAATCAGCTTTCATGCGCACGCACAGGTAAACAGCTGAAGCCCACCAGCCCCCTCCCGTCGGAGGCACCAAAATCGCCTATACCCCCGAATAGCATCTACGACACAATTAACAAGATGGTGAGTGTAGTGCTTGTGTGTTCTTGTTCACGCAATCGGATGGAGATCGAACTCCCCTCCCCCTCTTGCTTTTCAACTACAGGTTATTCTTCGTCATCCAGCCAAGTACTACCCTATAACGTAGCCACATTATAATTTGCTGCGCAAATTATTGTCGCTTTGCACTTGCGCTGCGTGTTCATTTCACTTGGAGCGCAAATTTGTAATGTTTTTCCGTGCATGCGGATGTGGCCGTGTACTTCTGTTGTTGTTTGCTGTCAATGATATTGTAGTGTGTGCTCGCGGTTCTGATAGGTATAAATTTGATACAATACAGGAATCATCGGATGATGGCTGGTCTGATTAGCAAAATCATCCCTTACGCCAGTAAGCAAGCAGCCAAATAAAATTAAAAATTCATGCAGTGTTTGCTCGCGGTTCTGTCCATGTGTAAACTTCATTCTAATACTAAAGATGTATTATAAGAATAATTGTCAAAGGATGACAGTGAAGGTGCATTCATGTGATGAAGCAGGGTGAGCGTTTGGTCGCCGTATTCGCCAGTACGCAATCGGCGAATAAAACCTCTTTTCTCACGGTACTGACACGTATATAAAACATTTTCTTTTAATTCTGAAGGTGGATAAGCGAAGGGCGGCAGTGAAGGTAGATTCATCGGACGATGGATGGTGAGCAATCCTATCTCACACGCGCCAGCAAGCAAGTAGCTGAAACAATATTTTCTTTAAAAAATAAAGAAGGCGGTATGAGCAGAGCTCGGTATGTAGGTTATGGTTAATGGATTGTCGGTAGATACATATGTACCATGTATTTTTAATTAAATTGTATGTACCGAACTACCGATCTCATATATAATTGTTATATATATATATAAATCACGGCTGGGACGCGTAGGGTCTTTTAAGGCGTAAAATCAATCATAGGGGTAAGGAAGCTCATCTTTTAAAAAAGTCTCTATTGACATTATCACCGATCTCTTGTCTGTCGCCAAAAAACATTCGTGACGCTTAAAAATCCGGCTTGAAACGCGGTTTGCCCATTTGAGACCCTTTACAACTAATTAATAGGCACAAAATGAGTTTTTGTTCATTTGTGACCCCGCTAGAGTATCCTTTATTAAATATTTTATCGAAATATAAAAACATAGCCTTCTAAATATATTTAGACAAAGCGTGTATGTCTTTCTATATAAATACATACACATGTATGTGTTTTTGTGTGAGAGTATATGTATCATTGTGTTTGCGTCTGCGTGTCCACATGTATGCATGCATGTATGTATGTATGTAGGTATGTATGTATGCATGCATTTTTGTATGTATGCATGAAACGTAAAGCGCTGAATAGTACAGAATTTAAAATTATTTATTTTTGTATATATGTATGCGTGTATGTATGTATGTACGTATGTGTGTCTGTGTGTGTATTTGTTCGCGTATGTCTGCATGTATGCGCGCACACATACATATGTATATGTATATATATATATATATATGTATGTATATATGTATGTATGTATGTACGTACGTATTTATGTATCCAAGCATGTATGTATGTATCCATGTAGGCATGCATGCATGTATGTATGTATGTATCCATGTATTTATGTATGCATGCTTATGTATGCTTATATTTAGGTATGTGTGTATGTATGTATGCATGTATGCATGTATTTATGTATGCATGCTTATGTATGCTTATATTTAGGTATGTGTGTATGTATGTATGCATGTATGCATGTAAATATGAATTTTATATTTATATATATATATATATATATATATTTATATATTCGTCTCTCTGTGTGAATATGTGTGTGCGTTTTTCTCTGTGTGTGCGTGTTTGTGTGTGTTTGTGTATGTGTGTGTATGTATTTGTGTTTGTATGTCTGCATGTATACATGCATGTATGTATATATGTATGTATTTATGTATGCTGTATTTATGTATGCATGCATGCATGCATATATATATAAATGTATGTATTTATTTATACATAGCGATGCATACGACAAAATTTAAAAGAACATTGTGGTTATGTGTATATGTATGTATGTATGTATCTGTGTATGTGTGTCAGTGTATGTATGTGCGGGAAACTAAGACTGAGACTGAAAGTTGAGTGTGAGCGTGAATGTGAATGTGAATGTGGATGTGGATGTGAATGGGAATGTGAATGTGTGCGTGAGTGTGAATATGAGTGAGAGTAAGAGTGTATGAGTATGAATGTCAGTGTAAGTGTGAGTGTGAGTGTGAGTATGAGAGAGAGAGTGTGTGTGTGATAGTGTGCGTGAAAAGAGAGTGTGTGTGAGTGAGAGCGTGTACGTGTGTGTATTTTATGGTGATAGGGCGTGTAGAGCGTGTATTGTTGAATACAGTCCGTACTGGTTGAGAAATACTTTACTTTTTACATGGTACTTTTTCTGAATATGAACAAATAAATTTTCCCTATGATAATAAGCTTGCATTCCCCGCGGCTTCCCAGCCGTGATTTATTATTGTTGTTTCATGTGCATGATACAGTACCTGGCTTGAAGTCTTTACCTCTTACTTATAGTGCGCTTATTCGGTCGTTCTTTTTGTAAACTGTAGTCAGTATCGTTTTGTTTTTTTGTGATATTTACCATTATTTCTATTCGTTGATCGTCCTTGCTTTATCATAAATTCATTCCAAAATGCATTCATATATTTTTGCATGTATGCAAGTATGAATGCATTCAAAACTGCATGTATACAAGTATGAATGCATTCAAAACTGCATGTATGCATGCAATTTTGAAAGCATACACAAACAAGCATACAGTTTCAAATACGTAAATTCATGAACCATTGCACGAATGCATTCAAATTTTCATGTGTGTGCACGCATACGTACATGCATTCATGCCTTTATGAATGCATTCATCTAGTTTTGAATGCATGCAAAAATACATAAATGAATTCAAACCGGCTTACGTTTGAATGCGTGAATGCATTTTGTCTCGCACGCACGCATGAATGCGTTAAAAACGGCCTGCCTGCGTGCCTGCCTGCGTGCCTGCCTGCGTGCCTGCCTGCGTGCCTGCCTGCGTGCCTGCCTGCGTGCCTGCCTGCGTTCCTGTATGCATGCATGTTCATGTATGCGTGCATGCATGCGTGCATGTATGTGTGCATGTATGTGTGCATGCAAGCATGTCTGTCGTCATCGTCGTAGCGCAAACCGTATACGTCCTCTAAAAAATCTATTTATTAAAAACTTTCGTACGGATTTGGTTTGCATTGCAAACGAAATTTGATTGGTGGATTTGATATTCCCGGGTTGTATTTTTTGTTTGTTTTTTTTAACAAAGTATCGAAATAAGGCTTGTATTTGTCCAATTTAGGAGACTATGCCGCTGTGGTATTTTGTACAAATGCCTGTGTCCTGTGATACCTTTGATACGTGTGCCAAGTTTGACTTCTACGTGTGCCAAGTTTGACTTTGACCCAGTTCTTGAGTTCTGATACAAATTGGAATCTCTTATAGCTTTTGAATCAATAGTCCAATCGGGATGAGATTAAACCTACAACGTTTAGTCATATACTAATCGTCAATACAAGGCATTTGAATCATGGCCTATGAAATAGATTTTTATTGCGCCTCTCGGTCAATCTCTATGGTAAAAAAATTAAAATTCCCGGGTTCCTCCGTTCAATATTTGGTGTTGTTTGCCTCAATGGTGTTATTCTCTATCATCTCAAAAGTCAAAAGTGACTATTCTCTATCATCACAGGTAATCGCTTGGTCAAACGCACCAAATGCGCAAACATGCTTTGGCCAATACCTTAATTAAAAATAGTAATACGATTCTATTTAGGGCAAAATCAAAAAGGAGTGATACTGGAATGCTGGTTGCACATATTCTTGAAGAGTTGTAACTAGTGAGTACTCTCTCTCTATTTAGTTTTAGACACTCTCTCGCTCTCTCGGAGAGTCTCTATGTAAATACTACGTAAATATCTGCCTGTTGTACGACTCTGTGCTGGAGTCATGAGCATGATTGGCATGGAATGCACTCACAAATCACAATGGTTTTTGTTTTTTGTTTTGTTTTAAAATAACAAATCAAATACCTTAACCGAACTACAAGGAACACTAAGTAAAAAAGACTTTTGATTCGATTAATATTTGTTGTGGCTGATTAATCAAAACCCAATTGGCTGATGGGTCGAATTCGACCCATCAGAGCAGTGTCGGTTAGAAGGCTATAACTGACGGACTGTTCACTTTCAAGTTTCAGTGTTCACTGGGCTGAGTGGGCTAACTGGGCTCACTGCTCAATGCTCTTGAAAGTTGGGTACTTGAGAAGTTGAGAGTTGGGGCTGTTCACTGTTGCATTGTACAAATAGTAATAAAGCCAATAATAGCGGTTTTTACTATTTAGACGAATAGAAGTCCGAGAAAAAGATGCTGGTACAAATATACGTATTACAATTGATTGTTTACAATAATTGATCGATTGATAGACTCGTTTTGGTAATGTATAACTCTCTTCTGAATAGTATACACAATCACTCAATCAGGTGTAAGCATTTTGTATGCATTGTCTTTATATTTTTTGTAAAGTACATGCATAAATATTTTTATTCTATTTGTTTTTGAAAAATAGGCATATGCCCGACTCCCACTCCAAGTCCCAACGGCCGACGAATGTCTTTATACGGCACTGGTGACAATAAAATTATTAATCCCCCAGGCCCAGTTTCTTACCAGTCTCGTACTTTTTACTTTTTCGAGTTTAATTTGCTTAAATATAGGTATTAATGTAATTAGCGTGATTTTAAGCACTTGTGAGATGTGTTTGTTTTCTGCCGGTTTGTTTGTTATCTGTCGGCTGAAAGCGCTAGACTTAAATGCTAGATATTGTAGCGCGGATACAACCCATTTGTTGCACTTATGTCAGGTCCTTGTCTGTTAAGGGCTTGACATATGTTAGCAGTTAGAGACATGTATATAGGCGTCCTCTGTCTTAGCTATTGCTTCGGATTCGCCCATGGTTTTACAGTTGACACTATTCGTGTCTAATAACATACGTCGACCTCTCCTTTGAGGCCGACAAAGAACTAATACAACAAGTGCAATAAATGGGCTAAAATCACGCTTATTACATCTTAAAAAAGCAAAGTAAACTCGAAAAAGGTATGAGACTGGTAGGAAACTGGACCTGAGATGGCTAATGATTTTATTGTCACCAGTGCCGTATAAAGTCATCCGCGATACTAATAGGCAACTCTTTCTGTAAAAAAGAGGTCACAGTTCACACTTCAGTCTGTCACCGACTCACAGAGTCACAGCCTCACAGTCACAGCCTCACACACAAGTCAAGTCTCACGACTCACTACTCACGAGTCACGACTCCAGTTACAGTCACAGCCCACAGCCCACCGCGACAGCCCGACACCGGCAGCCTCAGGCGGCCTCACAGGCTCACAGGCTCACACACCCCTGCCAACTGGCGAGTGTCGGAGTGCCTGACTCGGAGTGGTGACTGGTGACTGACTGACTGGTGACTGGTGTGTCACTGTGAGATGTCACTACTTTACGACTACTCTAGAGAGAGACTGCACTCTGCAGTCTGTACTCTAAACGCTGTACTCTGTAGAGACTTTCACGAATCACGACTCACACTTTCACGAATCACGACTCACACTTTCACAGTCTCAGCTCTCCACAGTCAACAGGGCACAGAGTCACACACTCAACTCTCAGTCCCTAATTCTCTATTCTCTAAAGGTCAATGGACAAAGGTGGGCCCCAGAGGTCCAGAGGCCCAGACCCCAAATACCAGAGGCAGCAGTGACTCCCGACACCACTCCCCAGTGAGGCAATATAAAATACCAACAGCAAGAGTCTCAAAGTTTTGCATACTTAAACACCAAAAACACAGGGACAAACAGTCAACAAGTGATAGCTGATACTTTCGGTATTGATACCTCAATTCATAGGGAGAAAGGCCCAAGCTGGCGGGAAGAATTTTTCTCCACCAGAAGACGAGAAGTTAGGGTGAAGAAAGAGGCCGGGCAGGCATTTGGTATATTTCTTATTTTTGTGGGGAATACCATTTATATAGCTTATGTGGAAAGATACAACGCAGACAACACATTCACTGCGGCCTTTAGAGCAGGACTCAGATTCGGTGACGAGCTGACCTCGATCAACGCGTTGTCTCTGGAAGCATTGGCTTATAAAGTATCCGATGTTATTCAAGACGCGAATGAGCAGCTGGACACTTCATCTGTGCTTACCATAGAATTGGTGGATCAGAGTGCATTCTCAAAATATGTTATTCACGTTCCGAAACATGTCTCCAAAGCCCACAGACGTTTCAGCGATCAAATCGGAGTTACATTTACAGGTGATGGCAACATATCATATATTGAAAGGGGCAGTGTGGGAGAAGAGGCAGGCCTTAATCCAGAAACCTGTATAGTTCGAATAGGTAACCAGTCCACTATCAGTACAACCCCACAGTTGTATGCAAGTTTAGTTGAAAAAGAGACAAGGCGATCAAAAGTGGTTGAAATCACCCTTGGACCCACGATGCTGGTATCCCAGCTAGTGCACGGAGCTATACGCTACTTATTGCAACACGTACACTTGAAGTGGTATAACCTGAGATATTTAGTTGATTGTGAGTATATCAACCAATCGCCACGTAGGTCAGCCCGCGTTGCGCGAATCTTTACTTCATTAACGAAATTCACCAAAAGAAAAAAGCCCACGGAACGATTCGTAGGCCAATTATAGCAATATAATATCTAAAAATAAATAAAGGATTCATATGGCGTTGTTAATATGAACGAGCCGGTGGCATGATCATGAAGTTGCATCCAATCTTATTGTCCGACTCAATGTCAACAAAGTTCGTTTCTCTATCATAGCTTGACCATATCAAAAAAAGAATACTCTTTCTTTTTTTTTAAATAGATAAGATTTGCATTTGTCTGCTTGATTCAAGACTATAGCTTTTAAACTATGTATGTCAAGTATTATTACATGCATATACATATTTATGCTTCGTTGTCCGCTTTTCGTTCGGAACAAGCAAACTGTACGAGAATAAAATGAACACAGCGTGACGATCAACACCATGCGCGATGATCCTCCACACACTTGGGCGCCGCACTCACTTCATCAGCTTGGGTGTATTGTCAGTGTTGCTATGTATGCTATCAAATACATATAATAGTGTGTATGTGAATATATATATATATATATATAAGTAATCGGGTGCATACCGCCAATACACGACTGGAACAGACAGTTAGCTTATTATCGTACAACAGTGTGTGCTGTAGGTTCGTTCACATACACGAATATCTTGACGAGAATCAGCTGTGACGAGAATCAGTTGTACCCCTCCGGGAAATCCCAGTCATGATCTACAAAATAGTGGCCTGAAATCAGCAAACGCAACGGCACTCATATGCATCACAAGCAAAGCCGCAGAAGTAGAAATGTCTGACAATTCATGAGCTTAAGGGCTTAGCTACTACTATTAAATATATAAATACACCTCGTAATATGACTGTATGTGGGTCAAACATGCACATCATTTACACGAGTATTTATTGCCTTTTTATAATCTTCATCCGCTAATTTTGATAAACAACTTTGGTGGGAATGCAATTGCTCTTTAATTGTGATCCGTTTGATTTAGGGCCTTCTCATTTGTGTGATTTCTACAACCCCGTGCATATCGATAGGTGTTCCAATATAAAAGACACCTTGACTCCCATCGACTCGTTGGTGCTCGGAAACGCCATGAGAGCCGTGATTCACATGGGCTGCACAGTCGCTTACATTCAATTTTTCGCAACAGGTAAATATCGCTACCGACGTACAAGGGAATCGATCATCAAGCTTTACGCGTTACAACGGGGTAAAGCGAAGATTCATTCTTACAATTGGCCAACTGAGAGGTGTAACGAGTCACTCGAACTTGGCAAATAAGCACTTTGGAAGTCATTGATGTCGAATCTTCTTAAACCATAGCTCGAGCTCGAATTTATATCTGGAAAGCGTGCAGATGTCTCATTTGACCGATTCTAGCGTCTGTCATCCGCTAATCCCAACACCCCCACACCTTCGTGTAGTAGTTAGGGCTGTCAATCATTTACCACATAGCTCTATTCGAATTTATCTCTATTTGTAAGCGCTTATAATGCCATCCAGTACTTTCAAGCTGTGCAACATATTCGGCCTGAGCAGCAGTGCTTTCCTCTATCGCTTCGAGTAGTTGTACTCTGCTGGCTGCTCCGTATTTGTTTCGATTTAAGAAAGAGCATTCATGGTGTGTGAGGTGAAGTGAAGTGCACTATTTCAGCACAATAGATACGTCTAATCACAACAATGCAAGCGAAGGTATTCGAAAAAATTGACAAAAAGAGATCAGCCGAGCCGTATAGTTGCAACAACAAAATCGCACACGCATTCCAACACGACATGCACCGCTACAGGCACAAAAGTAACATACCAGGTGTTCGATCTATTCGTTGGCATTGTCGAGAGCTGTCTCTTAATATGCATGCATTCAGGTACCCTGAGCAGCAGAGATGATCTATTAGTGAACTGCTTAATATTTTTGATTTGTAGTGGATTATAAACCGAAAATCTGCGTGCGGACTTATAACCCCTTCAAGTATCAAACCCTTTGCCGACCATCGATGCATGTTCAGCTAAATTGACCCTCAAAAGACATTCGAACTTCAACATGCCAAATATACCTCGAAGACACTGATGGGGAGTGGCGTCCTCCTTGAACACCAGCATAACAGACCCGTCAGCATCATCTACAGAGGCAATATAAGGCAAATCCTTATATATTTGGAGTAGTTCGTCTAATTTCTTCGATGAGCCTCCACAGAGCTCTATCACATCCACACCAACGGAGATGGCGGGCAAGAATCGTTGGTCGCGCTACAGTGGAACATTCATTGACAACTTAGGTAGGGTTCAAACAATTTAAAATTATAGCAATATTCTGGAAATCTCATCATCGCAAATTTCTGAGTGATCCACCACGATTGCATCGCCGTCATAAACAGTGATAAACTAGTCTGAATTAAAAGGAAAAATGAACTCATTCTCAATTGTACCTGCACACGCGGAAAATGGACGGCTGGGTCCTCTAAAGCCAAGTCGGTTGGGTTTGGCAGAGCTGCGGAAAGGACAGACAACATTGTATTGATTCCATAAAAAAAAGATACAGTCAGACTATTGCAACTACTCGATTTTCAAGATTTGGTCGCATCCGTTGTTGTTGAGCATACATTGATCCCATTCTAATATAGAAAGCAGAAAAGCAGTTCATGAACGAGAACTATGCGAAGGCACATTGATTGAAACCCTTCACGCGGAACAAAAAGTAGTTTGTGACAACAGTATAGATTAGAGCCAATTGAGTTGTCCCGCGGGTACCTTTATCGTGGTTTTCAGGTGCACTAGTCATACGTGAGCGGCGATAGTCCAGGAATCTATCTGTAAGAAGCTGCAACCGGCTGGGGTTTAAGGTGCTCAGCGGAATGTTTCGCACGCACCAATAAGCTGTGTATGTTGGTACAAGAATCAAAATATATGTTACGAGTATACCTAACCCGAGTCATTACAAAATCGTTGTTGAGCCATACTAGGCCCCAGAGGGGGTCCCAACACAAAAACAAGGATCTCACTATGTATTGGTATTTAGTATCACATCATCAGAAACTATCTCTAACCCATTCGCCCCATGTTCAATACCCAGCGGTCACAGTGCCGTAGCTGTGGCACTGTTGTGCTAACGGCAACGGCAACCTGTGCGCATATTACGAACGACTAGCTAAGAAAAGGATACTTTACAGTTAAAACACGTGTACGAATTACACAATAATCCGGCAGTATATTCACACACTCATACAAAATAAGATACACTTGTGCTTTCGAAGAGAGTATGCAGGTTGTAAGTTTATCGCCAACGCAAAAACATTGATAGCTTCGGATGTAAAGACATACCCGCACCCAGATGCACGCAAGATGTGATCGCACATGCCGCCACAGCATACTGGAGCGATTGACCGATTTGACTACAGAGGTACACGCCGATAAGGTTTCCTGAGTTGATAAAAGATAGTGAGACTTCAGATGCGATGTTAAGCAGTATCAATTGTTTGAGCACAAGGAGATAGCCGTACTGTGTGGTCCTACGTCGGGTAACCATGGCCCTTGAATCTACACGGAGAAAAGTACGGTGTACCGCTGCACAAACCAGAACACTATAGATAGCTTTGTAGAATATTACCGAAGAGAGACGCGGTGATCGTTTGAGCAGTAGCCTTCGCAGTGATGTCTGCAATGTTGTTGGCCCTGGCAAAGCTTACATTGAAGGCGGAGCGCGTCGAACCACCCGCCATCCAAGCAAGCCCCTAGCAAATCGATACAAATTGTGACAGGCCGATTCAAAAATATACGGCGTAATCACTACTAGGCTAGTTGGGATGTAAATCGGGTATAAATTAAACAGGCGTGGTTCAATTCGGGAAATGCGCAAATATCCGTTATCAATATTGCTATAGTACATGAAGCATTCCACCCATTCCTGTTTAAACCCTATGAATATAGATACGTACTATAGGTACCATGGTACCCTCCACTCAAGATTCATCTCAACATCACTCCATTCCTATCGAAAGTGGATATTCAAGTGTCTAACGTGCAGTACCCCGATCACGTCGCAAAACGACTGTCGCGCTGTGGATTGCGAACGTAGCATATATTGTGCTTGCACCATAAGGAGAAACCGTGCTCACGATACTTAACCCAGTGATCAAGATATGGCAGCTCCTCGTACCTTTATTCCATTAGCGAGCGAAGCCAATACCAGAAAGTGGTGGGGAGCCATGAATGTTGACAACTCGAGATACACGCCTAAATAAGTATAGAGTACGAAACAGCGGAGTTTAGTAAAAGTACAGCCACTCAATATTTGATCCATTGCAAGAGAGAAAATCGATCTGTATGAGCGACTACACGCTTTTTGAATGACCAAATGTTTCCTAACCGATATCTTTGATGCTTGAAAAATAGAAGCGGTAGGTATTTTACATCGAAACGGGCCAAACATACCTACGTTCAGCATCACTGATGCAGACAGATACCAAGTCTTCGCGTTCAGATCAAATCTGTGAGCTGCCAAAAAAAATCCATACAGTAATACACGAGTTGTTAAAAGACGATCAATTGCCAATGGTTATGATGTGGGTAGGGAGCATGAGTGGCCGGCAAATCCACTGAATGCATGTCATTATCACGATTTACGGTTAATTTCCAATAGTATAGCAGTGGAGAGTGGGAGAGTATGCGCTATGAACAAGACGCATAGTTCATACCAATCAATTTGCCAAACATCAGAGTTCCTATCTGGCCCAACCCATCTTTTAGGACCCAATTGACAGCACCGGCAACAGGGGCTGCGCTCTCGCCTAGGCCTACGCCGTACAAAAGAAACGTAGACGCAAGCACGCCGTTTACACTCGAGGCTACGTGATGCAAAGACTGATGAGGGAATAATAACCTGGAAGTTACGTCGATGTGCGGGTGATAAGTGGAATTCAGACGTATACACGCCAATGCAACTCGAGTGATATCATACGCGGATGTACTGTAGAATATCAGCATGGAACCCGGGCAATACGAGTGCTACGAAGCGAAAAGGAACCCGAGATGCAAGCATGCCGTTCACAATCAAGGCTGCATAGCGCACAAACACATAAGTAGGCAATAACATGGTTGCCAAATATTTTCAATCAACGTGTTAATGGAAACTATATTTGTAATAGACGCGCACCAGTATCAGTATCAAATGCCGAACAACTGGATGGCTTTAAATAGTACAAAGTATCATCGTGCAAATGTCAAAGTACATAAGCCGAAGGTCTACCACCTGGTATCCAGAATTTAAGACTTCGCCTTCAAGCAGAGAAGAATATTAAGCAACGTATCTGATATTTAACGCCAGTATCGTATCTCAAGAAAACTATACTAGGCATGAAGCAACGTACCTGATATTTAACGAACGTGAGATACCCTGGACCAAGACTCTCCGGGTATCCCGCTGGCAGAAAAGTGGTCTGAAGAAATTGCCTAATTGCAGTCACCCCGCCTTGAATTCCAGCGGAGCCGAGATGCTTTACATTCACCTTGCTCTGATAGACAGAACATAGAAGAATATTAGTCAGACGCTAGAACCTATAACCTGTACACTCACATTGCCCGAATACTTGGAGATTAAACAGAATTAGTCAGGCATTCGAAAACAACTTAAGTTTCATTCAGACCTTGTGGCTTTTACATGACTGTGAATACGTAATCTTACAATCGTACTTCGAATACTTATTTCATTGTGAACATAGAAGTGTTGACAGAGATTTCAGTTCCGAGAATTAAACTTGTCACGCGTAAAATTCTGTAGTGCGCACGTAGCGCTAAAGACTGGTATCTCTTATATACGAAATATACATATAAACAAAAACATAGATATATACAAGCACACTGCTCAAAAACAGTTACACTGAATGCATAGTATTCTGGTCAATCATTGAATGATAGGCCCGACTTCATGCGTGATATACCATGAGCTTGACAGCTACCCTATGACTGATAAAATTATGATTTTCATTGAAGTCAACTTCAGGCAGAACATACCTGGCCTTCTCCAGGAGTATAGGTGTACTGTGTGCTTTCGTCTCGTCGCTGGGTGATCGAGCGCGGCTGTTCAAATTCTGTGTGCGTCTCCGTCGAGCTTTGACCTGTCGACGAGATCATTCGTCCGCCTGGGCTTCCCATACCGCATCTTATATATGATGGCACATAGTTCATGCGAATGCGTCCATAGCTCCTAACTAGCATCGTGAACAGATACCCGGTATCGTACACACATACACAACGGACGATTAATTGTGAGCTGTCCCGTCGCGCAAATTGACACTTTTAAAATAAATACGTCGTTGTACGTGGCTCGACTTCATGAAGAGGTCGCTTGTGTCGTTTGGAATTGTAGCATCGCATCAGGGTTTTCAGGGTTTAGTCATTTGACAGGTTTTTAGGGTTTATGCAAGGCAATTTAGCATAGCCCCCTGAAAAAGAAACAGGAGCTATGATTCTCTTTTTTTCAGGGGGCTATGTTTTGGGTCTATGTAGGACTCTCTGCTACTATTTAGAGAGCGAGGGCTCTTATTTTTCTCTCTCTTTTTTTAGGACGCTATGTAATTTTTCATACATAGCTGTCATGATGACCCTCTAGAAGGTGTAAAAATTGAAGGGAGAACGGACAAGTCCCGTACGTGTATTTAGCTGTCTAATTTTCAGAAGGCTATGACATACCCCCTGAAAATAGAACTTTTATGGGGGGTTTTTCTTTATGTGAAAAAAATAAGATATATGTATCCGCACATAAATATATCAAACACGGCGCACGGTTCAGGATTGAAGTCTCTGTTGCAAGCCCGTCGGTACACATATCTATGTGGTGTAAAAGGGCCTACATCTGTCAAGTCAAGCGACTCAATCTCAGTAAAGACCCGACACAGCAATTGCAAGCTGTTGTAATTTGACATACGTGACATGGACACCGTGCTGACAACCACTGCATCTACTTGTAGCCTGAATGTTTCTCTCTCAAGTCAATCGTATGAAGCCTTCTAGGATACTTAAAAATCTCTAGCAATACGCGACCTTTTGTACAGCCGCTGACTACACTTTCCAAAAATCATAAATATCATGTGTTTTACATATGTAATTTCAGTTTACTATGATTTATTGATATCTGAAGGTAAGTGTTTAAATATCGTTCATCGACATACCACGCACCAGTCCGGGCTGGGTAGTAAGTGCATCGGAATCGGGTATGAAACTGCTCCCGCGTCTCCTATTTTTGCCATCTTTGTTGCCTTTATCAGTCTCCTTTCCAGCGTTCTGTTTGGCATCGTTCGTCTTGGTATCTGCTTTGTCCTTGTTCATATTTTTCTCAACTCCTTTAGTACCACTGCTCACACTACCAGAAACATCTTCAATTGAATTTGGAACCGAACTATCAGGAGACTGCTTCCGGCCATTCTTTTTAGCAAACTTTTCTGGGTCATAACCAGCTTCAGCATTCCCTTTCTTTTTGCGCCCGATTCTGCCAAATTTCTTACCCTGTATTGCGAAAGTGGCAGGTAACAAAACATACTGTAAAGATCCCATGAATACACAATGTACGAAGTTTCTTAAAGTACACACCACCTTCAAGTAGTACCGTGAGCGCATACGAAGATCATCAGCATCTGTAAATATCAGCCAGCTGTATAACACGTGAACTCGTATATTCGTAGCAGAGGCCAAATATACAAGGTGGAAATCTTCCGCATATAGACAATATATGTGCGGTATGCGCGTTCACGCACCATTGATGATAATTTGCCTTCCTTGCCCTCCGTCTTCGACGGTTTCACAGCTTTCTTCGTAGCGACCGCCTCTTTCTTCAGCCTTTTCTCTTCTAGAATCTTCGCTTTGCTGTAAATGAGATTAAGTTGAGAGAAACCATTCTAGCACTTGAGCCCACTACTTTGCGTAAATAAACCAGTGTACGAATTTGGTGCGGAATTAGAGAAACACCAGCCCGAGATGCTCTTATAATGTACTAGCTGAGTTCAAGACACTTACACAGTGCCCAATATATTCTTCTCCTCTGCTTCCCAGGCGTCATTGCACTTCGTGAAGAACGGCAACCACAGATCGATCATTTCTTCTGATGTCATCTTCTTCGCCTAATCATTGGGTGGGATAGTGATAGTTCTGAAAAGTTGGCCGATAACAAGTATAACAACTTGACATATGAATTCACGAAAAGTTTGAAGAAACGGATGTCAAATAACCGTATGACCACGGGTACGTGCAACGAACTGTATTTGCTTCTCTGTCAATATAAATTCGAACTGTAGTACCATCAGTCCTGCCTATAAAGGGAGGTAACTAATGCACCAGTATGCAAAGAAAAATACATTGTTCCGGCACATCCACGTGTGCAAAAGTTCAATCTCGCCCACACCAGTCCATCTACATACCTTCATATCTGGAACACCGTAATAAATAGCCAGCTTGTATATGTCTTGTTTGATGCTGTCAAACGCCTGTTTCACCTCATCAAACGAGGCCTCCGCTACAGTAGATAGTGTTCAAGTTTAAATGGAACACGTTGTGGAGGGCAATTTACGTTGGTTTGCATCGTGATAATATTTGTGAGAGTATTTTTGAACTGAGCGCAATCGCGTGCAGGTAATAGTTGGGTGTCTTCATTTTTTGAGCTACGGTAAATATCGAGAGTAAACCATCCGCGTACTCTAGAACACTGGTGTACTCTATTCCACACAAACCATAAACTATTACCGACGCGCCGTACAACTATGCGGCTTAACGATGGTGCGTGATGTACTACAGTGGACACTGTCGATATGATTTGGTCTCTGTATTCGACACTCACTCAACCAAATTTGAACATTGAAAACAACAGTATATAGCGTAGTGCTCGCTACCGTAAAATAAAGCTGGATTGCACTTACAAACTAGTGGTTCATAAATTAGATTAGATTCCCTGCAACTTCGATATCTTTGTTCATCTGGAGTCGGAGTTTGAGCTCTCCATTCTACACTAACAGACAAACAAATCATTAAAGATCTTCTACCGGTAGTTTCTATCAAACAAGACGCGCGCCTAGGCTATACGCAAGTATTGCGTATAGCCTAAACACAAACACGTGGGACAGGTGTGCTACCCACCTTCATTCATAAATTTGGCCAATTTCTCCTCAAAGGGCGCCCCATCTACAACTTCGGCCGCCTCTATTGCTTTCTGTACCTGGGGCACACGGTTGCTCGCATCTGTTATGGGTTGTCAGGGGAGGGTTGCAAAACGCTGTTAGCAAAAAGATACCAACCAGTGCATACGGTGAACCAATGTTGCATATACATGATTTGATGCACGCATGGTATCGCACTTGCCGCACTAGCTATTCAGCGGCCTTTTCAAATCTAAGCCGCCGAGCTGCTTAGTGGTGATACGTCCTCAAGATATGCTAATTAACTAAAGACCATTGCGTGTAACATGTTCAGAGGTAGCACAAGAAACTATACAGCCTGCCAGGGCGAACATGTCTTCAATTCAACGGTCGGAATCGACGCCTATGGTAGAGTGATGGTTCCCAACAGAGAAAAGTTGTGAGCTCAGTAAAAAAGAAAATCATACTTTTCAAAAGCTTGTCTAATTGGGCCACATTGCTCGTTACGTCTTCAAAACTGATTCTGGCGCCTTTCTCACACATCGACACAGCCGGTAACGGGAAAGCTGTAGTAGCAGGTGGTAGAGCGAGAGAAGTGGAAAATGTCAAAGTCAGCTCAGCGACAGGACATATCAATAAGTGAACGTCAGATCAATTTCGTCATACATCTCATGTGTGGGTGAATCCTTCCACATATAACCCGTAGATTGCAATAGTGATATCAACGCAGCAGATAATCAAATGCTCGTTTAAGATCTGCAAGAGTACATGGCCTTTACTTCCACAGCGGGCACTGCGTCTTCCTCTAGCCATAACAGTGCTACCTCGAACTTGTTATAGCGTGGTCAGTGCAAGGATCGCTGAATGTTTGTGTTCCCATTATTGCTGTGCTACATACTTTAACCGAGTCAGTGTGGGCATGCAGAGGCCCCTGTTCACGTATCTCTGGGACTATAATTTAAGACAGCGCTACCTTAACGTTGAACACTTCAACATAGACCATATACATCGAAGCACTTCTTCACGATTCGTACAAGTACCCTCTAGTAGCCGTGAACAAACCTTGCACCGGCGTCTCACTACTGTTCAAGTTTGTATCTCTGTATGGCCAGAAGATACACTCTGGACACTACAGAAAGCCGGAATAGGTCCTTGTTTGGTCAAATATGGTACAGTATTCTCACTTACGAATTTTCGGAGGCTCTGCCTGGCCCTTCGCGACAATGGCATCGATGATCTCGTTGATGTCGATACCCTTGTAGTATAACTTTGACATTACGTAACTGATCAGGGTTGTCTTCTGATCTGCTGACTGGTAACCAAATGTTCCGTACAGACGATACGAATTTGTGTGGGAAGTTCAGGGAGGTGCATATTGAAGACATTACTATCTGTCATAAACATGTACATGATATTGGTACCACTCCATGGAGAGCCGAGTTAACATGCCCTAGATAAAGGCTGCGTACTATGGGAGTAATAAATATAACCGAGAGCAACTATTAGTGTCAGAGATATAAATGCATGAAAACACATGTTGGAACGCACATACGCTCACAAAATAAAGTTTGAAGTACCATTTCGGTCGTCTAGTCTGATAACAGGCCCTATTGACATACTTTGACATCTCCCAGTTTTGGGATAAGCTCAATGGCAAATCCGTCTGCCTGACCTCTGTTGGTGCCACCATTCATGTAGTTGCCTATACATAAGGCCCAAGCCAGCACTTCTTTGATAGCCTCATTGTCTCGTATAGCCTGAGGGTATGGATTTGAATATACTTTGTAATGTACTTAATAGAAGGAGGAATGCAAACACGCAGTGTTGATATCAACATGAAAACCCCCCCCCCCCCCCCCACCATGCCGTTTCAGCGATTGCTTAGTATCTCTGTCGTGTTTCACAGCCAGCGTGTGTGGCGCCTGTGTTGGCATGTACTTTGGATACGTTGTTTTAGGTACAGATGCGTATCGACATACGTGTATTGCTTTGGTGACGGAGTCGATCTTGCCCTCGCATTCATCGAGCTCCTCTTGCCATATACTTTTGAATCTCCAGCACTCCATCCATGCCTCTAGCGCCGGTATTTCATCTAGAGTCAGTAGGAACCTGATAGAAGAAGAAAAATCATATCTTCAGCACACAACAGTCATAAAACAACTAGTTAATTGCATGAGACATGCTCTACTCGTCACATACGACACATGGCACATATAGTGATGGCACTGTTTCTAGACGACAGAGAGTGAACACAGTCACAGGTAAAATTACCCACAACAAGCAAATACACTGTCGCTGCACCCTGTAATCCATTTGTACACGTCTACATAGCTCAATGCAGAAGTATATTTGTGTACAAATAAATATTTGCGTACAACAAGGGGTAAACCCATAGAACAAGTGTGCCCATGCGCACAGTACGGTGCACGTGTCATCGCTCTCGCACAGCACTTCTTGCAACCACACACACACGGCCTTGCATGTGTACAGACACACTCAATGTAGTACACCGAGAGAAGAGTACAGCAGTATGGATTATTGCCAACGTATTCCTTTCAAGTACCTATAGTAAGGGCATATTTGGCCGTACTACCGGTATGATGACATGCAAATTATTGCTACCAGTATCTGTGAAGACGCAAGCAAGAAATCGTGGATATGCACACCCAGTAAATTATATACTTGCACTCCGAAACGTATATTTGACCCCGTTCTGCGAATCACATTTCTAGACTTATGATTGTACAAACACATACAATCAAAAGAATAGCACAAAAAAATGTCCTGTTTCGTCTTCAGATGTATATTTTAACACAACGACAGTTACACGAAGCGTACTGTTCAGGCCGGTCCAAAGGTGTATCGCTTGATCCCACATGACTCCTAATTTGTGCCAATTCTTCCGGCTTTCCCAGTACGGAGGCTATTTGTTGCACATTATCGTTCCCTAATTTTTCTGAATCTACTTCGAGAATGGCTTTCTTCACCTCATCGATACCCAATCCTTTGCGCTGGAGACTATTTATCACAATGCCCACGGCTTGTGATCGCTTGGAATCTAATATTTGAGCCACTTTTGGCTTTTCCTCCACGGCTTTCTGCACGAGAATATGTGACCGGGGCACGTATATGAGTACTATGACTACGATACACACGCTCATCAGTGTAGTAAACGTTGCTGATGTACACACTCCCCAGTATCGGATATACATAGACGGTATAGCTGATCGTGTCCTGTTCATATACCTCCACAGTCTCTGTTTCGTTCGTGTCGTATAAGCAATGTCCTCAAGATAACAACTAACTAGCGTCCGATATTCACATGCCAATTTGCTAGCGTCAACATATGAATTTACACTTAATAATGTCGGATCTGCCTGTAACGTGCTGTTTGCACCAACATAACGATCTACACTTACCAGTGCCTTGAAGGCACGCACCCCGCTGCTACTATCAACCATACAACAATAGGTATCTGATATGCATATACCGTGTTGTTAGTCTCACTATGGTGACAAAGACACCCATCAGCATCCGATATACACGTACGATGTTGCTATAATTTTGTATCAATAGCATCTCTCGTTGGTGATTTATGACATATACGGTGATGCTGGCCCAAACATGTCGATATACACCTAAAAGTGTCTGAAATATATATATGTCTTGCTATTCTCAACATATAAGATTACTTATATGCAAATACTGTATCACTATTATCAACATTTTAGTCCACACTTCATAACACCCAATTGCACTAACCGGTTCCTTCTTCACCGGCGCTGCTTGTGCAAAGAGCTTCAGTAGCTCGTCTTCAATCTTTCCGATAGGAATGTCCTCCACATGCTTCCACACATTGTCTCTGCGGTCGATATGTATACGATTTTGAATTTGAGATGGTGAAAACTACCACGGCTATAACAAATTTCACGGCAGTACGATGAAAATATACTCTATCAACCCGGGCAGGAGAGACTGGTTTGATCTCAGATGGTTCCAGTAGGAACACGCCTCCAGAGGTAGGCTGTAATGGCAGGAGATGCGCAGAAGGGGCTCTGGCTTCACACCCGTATGAAAGCAGGGCAGCCTAGAAGGAAGACGACCCAACAAAACAACAATACGACAATGCGACAGAACACGATAAGGATACGTTTGTACGACGGTGCGAGTATACGACAAACCGTCATGATTCTGCACCGGGTCTTGACCTTAAGAACAAAGAATAACCCGCCAACTTGTGCACAATTGCAATTTGAGCTCACTTCGTGACTGGTTGGATGCCTCTCATTGCGCTAGACATCACTTACTTGTCTTGCGAAAGCTTGTTCATCTCCACCTTTTTCCAAAACAGACTTCTCATTTTCTTCTTTGGTACAATCTTTGGTCTCAGGGCTAAAAATAATTAGGACAAATAATTAGCAATTAGGTAAAAGCCACTTCTACATCACGTGTCCTCGAGTCGAGGACAACGCCTGCGCAAGCGATATACCCCATACGTGCAAGCAGTCATGTACCTCTTTTTATCTGATTATAAAGCCGTGAACGTGACTAGATAGAATCTAATCATAACACAAATTTGCAATATCAATTTGTAGAAACCGAAATCCACCATGAATTGATTCACAACTTGAAAGTCAAAAACAGTACAGCACTTTCCGTTGGTGTGACGACACACCTTCAGTGCTGTGACAGCAGATACACGCCAGCTACTTTGGGGTAGGAATCACAACCACATCCACAACCATCAAAACAACCACATGCACGACCGACAACGAACTGGAGAGCAGACTCTACACCCACATACAACTCTCCCATATGATTCAAACAGGTCGATTACAGTACTTACGCACAACCGGCGCGGCCGGCGCGGCTGGCGCCCCGGGGGGCGGTGGGGGTCCGACACCTGAAGAGCATCAATCAAGACCAAAGATATGATTAATACAAGTTTCTCGAGATATCTCTTGCTTCCTGGAAATTTGGCAAACTCTCCTCACACTAACTTTTGAGTCTCGGAACCAAAAAAGATATATACATCGATGCATGAGTCCACGTAAATAGAGAGTAGTACGCCGTTGGCAAAAGTAAGGCACTTATCTTGCAGCTCAACCTGGCTAGGTTGCACAATTGTCCTACCAGTGGAACAGGGAAGTGTATCACAATAGAGATTATTTGGTTCATGCGCTTGTATATGTTCCGTGAAGGCAGCGGCGTATGCGTTGTCGAAAGCATGCGTGCAAAACCCGTAACGATCTTATTCGGAATATGCAAAAGTTCATATTCATGTAGCTGGCCATATAGAAATATATTAAAGACAATATCATGTGGCAACATGTCGAGCCCTTCGTGCGTATGATGCACCCGGGAGAGTAGCCATACATCACTCATACCTATATATTTTTAAATATAAAACCGGTATATGTGCAGGAATTGTTGTGCATATGATGAATATGACTGACACATTCATACCTGGGGGTGGGGGTGGAGGCGGAGGTCCTCCTCCTGGCGGTGGTGGTGGTGGCGGTGGGCCGCCTCCTGTATGGAACAGAAACATGACAGTGAACTATAAGAATCATGCATTGGTATGTACCTTTCGAGGAATACGCATAATTGTCTACTGAAGGCATACACATATTGTTCTGAATGTTTACCGTGTTGATAGTCACGCTAGCGATTGAAACATTGTATGAAACTCGCATGACAAAGCGATAATCAGGTACGACACTGTTTCTAGCTAGACACATAGATGAACAGCTGTACGGATACAACACCGTGGTGAACCCTGCGGATGGGACTAGTTCGTTGACTAAACAATATTTACCTGGAGGCGGTGGTGGCGGTGGTGGGCCTCCTCCTGGGTAGGAATAAAAAACATACAGGTGGTTGTCACTAAAAGGAAGCGCAGTTCCGTCAGACTACGCAGGCATGTGCACTACTGAGAACAGGCTTGAGCAATGCCTTGAAGGCGCCGAAGCAAGGAGGCGCATATTGTATATGAATTCATTCCCACGTACCTGGTGGTGGGGGTGGGGGCGGTGGACCTCCGCCTGTGTGTAGCGACGAACGCGATGTGTGTGCAAAATGAGTCATGATATGTGTGTCGTGCCGTGAATACTTACACGTGAATGATGGTAGCTTCTGCGGATACCTTATAACAGTAAAGCTGATGTGCGACTATGGAATTGTTTGGCAACTTGTGCGTACATGGTGGTAGTGGGAGAGAAGGTAGACCAACTCCAGCAATACATAGAGTTTTCCAAGAAAACCAATACGTTTGGTCGGATATACACAAACGCGTGAATGGTAAGTAGCTATTATATATAACCCGCCGGAGTAAAGTCAAAACCGTATCAAAACATAAAATACCTGGTGGTGGCGGTGGTGGTGGTGGCGCTGGGGCTCCTCCTCCTGCATACAAGAATAAAAGTATACGCGACGTGAGCGATTCTCGTGCGTGATTCCAATTGCATATCATTGAGTTGTTTTAAAGGCACATACGAAGTCGTTCGACGTATTCTGTGCGGCGTGCTAGCCAATTCTTGCGAATATACATCAAATCTGTAGATTATGGGACCAAATTCTTGACTGAATGTTACTTACCCGGTGGTGGTGGTGGTGGCGGCGGCGGTGGTGGTGGTGGACCTCCTCCTGTTTTTGTTAGTGGCGTGTTTGTTAGTGGTACGATCTAGTAAGCACACTCGTATAACTTACCTAAACTCGGGTTTGGCTGTAATGCATTCTAGCAGCAATAGCGCCACCTCGTGCGTGGTGTTTTAAAGGTACAACTTTGGTGCTACATTATGTCTAGCCAGCAGGTCCACAACAATGAATTGCTTACACTTCACTTAGGAAACCTAACTGATATAAGCTGAGATTATGTGTACATTCATCTGATACCATGTGTACATTTATTCGTGTGTTTGTCAAATGCTACCCTGACTTACCGGAGGGTTGTGGTGGCGGCGGTGGTGGTGGTGGTGGTGGTGCTCCTCCTGCACAGTTGTAAATGTCAAATTGTGAAGATAAAAACTCAGCGGAGTGGCATTACAACAGGAAGTACCCACATCGAAATGTGGAGACACGCCACACAGAGCCTGTGGCGCACTTCTCCTCCGCAGTAGCTCACTAGCTGCATGCGAATGCAATGCCAACCACTGTTTGCGAGATACATATATTATGCAGGTTCACTTATATGTAGTCACAACAGAAATAACAGGTTGATGAGTAAAGGGATGTATACGAGCGATAGTTGCAAGCAATAGATTAAGTAAGCATACCTGAGGGTGGGGGTGGTGGGGGTGGGGGTGGAGGACCGCCTACGAGAATGAAATATGGGAAGAAATGAAGAAAGTTTTAAGTCTTTCAGTCTCAGTGCATATTATTACCTAAATTAATTAGATAATTAAAGGCACGAAGAGCTTATGATATCGATAGACAAATTACGCTGATTCAACTTAGCATCGCCTTAGCCATGGATGTTCGAAATCATTTTCAGGAAGCTTTTACGCTTGGCATTACCGGGATGTAAGGAGTATCCCCAACCAGAATCCGAACTTATAAGCAGATACAAACAAATGTACCACCCACCATTACACGCCTCAAGTAGAAACATAAGTTCAGGCATAGATCAACCCCTCATGGATTTATACATCGAGATTCAGCTGTACACTTAAACCCGTTGCATACCAGAAGCTGGTGGTGGCGGCGGTGGCGGTGGTGGCTGTGCTACTCCTGTACGGATGTTTAAAGCAATTGCGTAAAGCTCAGAAAAGGCGCAATGCTTCTGGGATATCGTATATCCGCAAGTAGGCTAGTACGAACTAGGATAACATGTGGTGTCAAGTGAATAGAAATGAAGAAGACCATTCATTCGAAGCCTGCACAATATTCCCTGCAACCTTCAAAGAGAGTATGCATTGGAATATGCACATAACGTCCGCAACGAATACTGATGAAAGCGGAGGCGGTGGTAGTGGAGCTCCGCCGGCCATAAGGCCAGACAAAGATTTGAGTTAGATGAAAGTCTTGCCAAAAAAAACTGCACATACAAAAATACATTGATGTATACATACAAAGACACATCCAAATACAAAGTGATACCCACAAACACAAGCATATAGGTACAAACTGGCTTCTCACCTGATGGGGGTGGGGTGGTGGTGGTGGTGGTGGTGGTGGTGGTGGTGGAGCACTCGACGCCGGTGGTGACGGTGGTGGTGGTGGTGGAGCACTCGACGCCGGTGGTGGTGGTGGTGGAGCACTCGACGCCGGTGGTGGTGGTGGTGGAGCACTCGACGCCGGTGGTGGTGGTGGTGGTGGCGGTGCATTTGATGCTAAAGCGGGCAGGCGGGCGAAAGTGAAAGCGATTACGCTGAGTACGTATGCATCAGGACCATGATTTGGAACGATCAGAGACCACGCACAATAGACATCTACTGCGAAATGACGAGGTCAATTGTAAACTGTCGTCCTCATAGCACATATATCAATTAAAACGCGCGAAACGAAGTCAACAAGGAATGGATGCGATCAAACGACGCTAGGTAGGAAGTTACACGGGAACTACTGACCGTAACTCACAGAAGGGTATCCCATACCTGGTGGTGGGGGTGGTGGCGGCGGTGCGTTGGACATCGGAGGGGGGGGTGGGGGTGGTGGTGCGTTGGAAGCTGTAGCAGAAAGCACAATGAGGGCTACAATGAGCCGAAACTCAATATAGTACTACATATATAGACGCTCTGCAATGGTGAATAAATCTCCATTTGGCGTCACTCTGTTTTTGAGTCGTATGCAAAGTTTCCGTAGGTAATGATTCATATATACCGGTACCAACGCCATAAGCACATTGGACGTCCAACCAATCTAGAAAATATCCGAGTATAAATAAGGTTACTTCATATTTGTACATACGGAAGGGCTGGAGAGGCAATCGACAGCTCAGTAGTAAGAGCTGTTTAGAATGACAATGACAGTCACGCGCCATAAATCCATGTTACAAAGACATAGCTTCGCCCTATTGTTATAGACGACGAAGTCATGTTATTATATAGTATAAAGTCAAAACGCCTGACTTACTTGGTGGCGGCGGTGGCGGTGGTGGTGGTGGTGGTGCATTTGTTGCTGTTCTCGGGAAGGAGGTGACAGCGCGCAGCAATCAAATATTTGTATGAGTTTAGTTAGCTATAGACACTCACTGAAGTCCAATCATTGCATGGCATGTCAGAATCCTGTGATTCACCATCGCCTTTATCGAATGGAGAATTATTATCTACTGATGATGACGTGTGTGTATCATGAAGGCAGGGGCAACCATGCACATGCTTTGATGTAACCTACTGATTATAAACTTTTACAAACGTGCCATCACAATGCAATTCAATCGCATACAAAAGCCTCAGGTTAACCAACAATATATCTTGAGCCAGGAGATTAATGGCAACTGCCTACACTGAAATACGTACACCGTGGTATGATTGTGGTACTATGCTTTGTGCAGACTGAAGATTCTATAGAAATTAGGAAGTTTATGTAATAAAGTGATTGTTTTAGAGTCTACTGTAGGATATACTCAATAACTATATTTGGTAATTTAGGGTTTCTAAACATTTGTGAGGCCTCCACGATTGTGAATCCACTTTCTGGAATGCGTGGTGACATATCCCCCGAGCTATAGCATTGCCACACACCATCATCAGCAATAATTTACAATCAAAGACTCGGGGCCTTGTAAGAATTAAGTGCAATCTTCGTATAGATCAGGTCATAAATGGTCTGACTACAATATGCATATAAAGTAATCTGTGAGCACTTGCATACCAATCTGCTATAAATATCACGCCCCCATCAATTTCGCGCACATACACTACATGTGCTTAGGGCTCATAGGACGCTTCCGCAGCATATGTACGTGTCCACATATCTCACCTTCATCCGAGAGTTAAAAGTGCAATAAGCTTGTATGGCCCATATACCCGTATAACAGACTTGTTTGCTTGGTGATTTAGATATTGAAGGCAATTGGTGTACCATAGAGGAGTGAATTACGCACACGGGAAAACATATACTGCTGTGCGCGCATTAACAAGCGCATCTAGAAGATAATTCTTACCTGGAGCTGCCCCTGTTGGTGCTTGACCGGGTGTCATCCCTTTAGCTGAATCTATGTAGTCATATTGACATGTTAGAATAACACGTGACAGGTAACGTGCTGCTTTCGTGGACGGCAAGTGAGCAGACATTACTGTTCTGACGACATACCAAACTGCTTCATGTCCTCGACCGACCGCATTTTGTGTGGGGCGTGGCCCCTCTGTCAGATGTATGATATTTGTCCGCGCCTTACGCAAAAAACACAAAGATATAAGAGCATACGTAAACTAAACGCAACGAACACACACCACGACAGGCATTGGAAAATCAAATATTAATTCACAAGCACCGTTATAACCTACATGCTCTACTGCAGGACTGTGCAGTGCGTGCTGCACAACCACCTGACTCCATAGATACTTACGCCACACAGCTATTCATATTAACAGTCCCACAAGTAACGCACATACAAGGCGCGGGTGTACCTGAAGGTCCTGCGATTTCGGAGATATCTTCTATGATACCGTACTCGAATTTCAGCTTGTCCAGGTGTGCCACAGCATCGTCTCTCTCCTTTTTCAAGTTGATCAATCCGGCACGCAGAGACTCCATAGCTAACGGATCTGTAGTGTGTGGAACGTTGATACACCGGGGTATGAGCAGCTGAAACCAGTTTCAATGGTATTTGCCCTCATAGATAAATATCACCCGCTGTCCTATATGCGAAGTACTGTCCTATGGTCACCAGAAGTACACCACAAAAATCCAGCTTCCCAGAGAACGACAAGAAATACGAACAGAATTCGTCGACTAAATCAATCCATCCGTTTGAGCACACTCACGATGAGTTGGATTGGACAGACTGCAAGCAATACGCGAACACGAACTGTTCTGCGACGACGACCTACACATGGGCTCATACCCAGAAACACACATACACCTCGGTGATCTGACCGTGCACAAAACACCTGTCATGATCGAGTGTGGCATTGATGGACTACACAAATCTTGATCATAGACGCAGCGTTATCCGACACATACATAACCTGACATACCATGATAGAGTGTGGCATTGGGGACTGCACGAGCATTGATCCCTGACTCAGCGTTATCTGACACATACATAATCTGACATACCATGATGGAGTGTGCCATTGATGGATCACGCATGTTTTGGTAACAGACAGCATTGATGGATCACCAGACAGCGATATCTGACACATACATAACCTGATATATCATGATAGAGTATGGCATTGGTGGATCACACATACTATAGTCGCAGACACATCGTTATCGGACAACATGCATTGGTCTTAGACACGGCTTTATCTACGGCATACATGAACAAACCTACCATGGTTGAGTGTGACATTGATGGACTGCACATTGCCCAGCTTGTTGTGCCGGCGCCGTTCCTGCTCCTGCTCGAGCAACTTGACTCTGTCAGCTGACATTGCCAGCGCATACAGATTTGTGTCCCCGGCGGCCTCCTAGAAATTGAGTTTCAACGATTTATTTTTGTTCTTTAGACGCGCATGTAAATGATCGATGTACACAAATGATCTCTCAGCCTGGCTGACAAATGGGCAATGCGCGGTGGATCTATGCACGTGCTGTCCAGAAAACAAGCAGATACAAAGTGTTACCCTCCGGCGTACTTCCTGAATTAATATTGACTCAAAGTGGTAAGAATAGTCACAATAGTCAGAGTACTTCACCTTCAACGCTGCGAGTTCTCGCTCCAAGCGTTGATTTTCTATCTTGAGATTGATGTCCTTCCTGCTGTCTGTTATGTTGCCAAATTGTAAGCGCATGGGATAAAGGATGAAGAATGTAATAGGCGCACGAAGTTACGTGTCAGGTGTTACCAACTGCAGAACTTGATCCAAATTTACAATGCTTTGCAACGCAGAGCTTCGCAAGGCTAATGTGTACACTCCCGCGGCCGCATACAATTCACGTGACCAAATGAGTGCACCCAGCAAGATACTAACATCATTAGCCGATCAAAATTGCAAAGCACGCTTTCGATTCGTACGCAACCCACACTTACCTGTACCGTCCATTTTCTTCAGCTGCATCTGCATGAGTTGGATTTGTGCCTTCTGTTGGTCATTCTCCTCCTGAAGCTTCTTCATCAACGCATCATGACCTTTCGACGTAGTTCTGCCCGATACAGACACATATATAAATATATATCAATGGGATTTAACGGTCAGTATTGTATGCTTCGGTTGCAACTGCTGACATGGTGAATTGAATCCAGCACTGCTATTGCAACGGGCAAATAAAGCGTTTCCAAATCTACCACATATAGCACTGGCTCCAAAGACCTACTCACCGAAGAAACAATATCATTTGTTTCGATCCCCCTGTACATATTCGCAGCCAGTACACGCACCATACATCACGACAAACCACATTTGAAATGTCCCAGATCCAACACAAGCACGCTTACGATGTCTGGCGATTCTTGGTAGATAAAGAATCGGTTCTGACTCTGTTTCCCACTGGTTTTAGTATACTCGCAGGATTTGTGAGGATGGCTTCATCCGATATATTCAGATCGTTCTCCTGCCCTGTCCTCTCCATGTTTAGTGACATATTCCGTGTTCGCGGTACTGTGAACTCTCCAGTTGGCAATTCCTTATCAATAGCTGGATCCGACTTTTGAATTCTGTTAAGACTGGGGGTTAAAAATTCAAATTGAATATTCCTACACACTTCGATGAAAGCAGTCTTATACACTTGACGTTTGCTGAATAATTGGCCACATCCGGTGATATATGCTACGAACGTAGTTGTATGCCAAAGCAATAAAAGTCCAATACAACAACAGTACCTAATGGCCCACTAAAGAGGCCTGGCAAACACTTGGAAACTAAGATATGAAGGTTTACATTTTGTATTGACGTTGGTATTACTGTATACGCTCAGAACACTGCCAATTTAGAAGCCATACACTTGCAAAAAAAGGCTCACCTGAATGAGCCTCCGATACGCTGGCCAAAGGTACGATTACTGAGCTTCCTCGCCTCAGCATCCATAGCAGACATTGTGGAATCAGAGGCTGCCATCTGTGTGCTTGTGCGGTGCAACCCAGATGCTGCACCTGTTGTGGCCGGTTTGTGTGTGAATGACTGTTGTTTGACATACGGTACTGACTGCTTCCTACCACTGCCAATCTGGTCATATGTACTTGAAGCGTTCGTTGTGTCACTCCGTTGGCGGCTCCCCAGCCCTTTGCTGGCTTTGACCACTTCGCTGTTGGCACGACGGAGCTGCAAGGAGAACAAGAAGGATAAGAGACGCTCCAGTGTTCCAACAATGGTGATCATACACCCAGAGACCCATACTCCATCCCATCCAACAATAACATAGTTCAATTCGTAAAACAGGTGAATACTACACATCTGCCACACACCTGGTCCTTGGTTTTTCGCCGCCAATCGGTTGCGCTATCGTTTGAAACTTGTGATGCAAGCGATATTCGCTTGCCTGCTGCGCCGACTTCCAGCTCGTGCTCCCTGCTGAGATATCTAGCGAGACTGCTCTGCCGTTTGGGCAAGGTTTCGCCAAAGCTGTGCGCGTATGCGGATAAGATTATAATCATAATTATTTCCAAGACACCTAGAGGGATGTTTCGGCAAGTCAACGCACCCTGTTGGAAGGATCTGTTTCCCTCGCACGTTTTCCGATTGAATTTGGAGTGCACGATGGCTAAAACGAAGCTTGGTAGAACACATATAAGCACTCAAAAGTATTCAATGACTGTCTGTGCAAGAGCGAATATAGCAGAAACCCTCCTTTTTTTGTTTCCACTGATAAGTCCATTGAAAGTGCTGTGCGAAAAAAAGGGGGATACTTACCTTTCAACTGGTCCAATGGCGACAGCGTTACCCAGGACCTCCGAACTAATCTGTCTGACGGTACTGTTGTATATCAAAACGTAGAAAATGATGAAACTTGTGTCTGTCGACTTAAACTAACACGCATGCGCCTCAAAATGCATATATATTCTTAAGGTAAGCATGCAGGCTTTGTATATCCCCATTTGCGCCCGGTTCTGATCTGTGTATTCAGAAAATAACAAACACGCAGATCGCAAAGCAGGACTTATACAGTACTGAGTAGATTGCTCGTACCATAGGCTTTTACGGAAGAGTATGTATTCATAGAAAAGCATGCGACCTTCACAAACGGGCATAACTTCAGTACATACAGGCTTTTCCTGTCCTTTTTGCCATTTCCTATCGTCGGCACATTCATCTCCTCATCTAGCTTCACCCAGTCAGCGTCACTTGATTCGCTCTCCGCACGTACTCTTTCTCTCATATCTAGTATGTCCGCAAGCTCGTCTATGCAGAGTGTGTGGAGAACCATATGTCCATTATACTGTGTACTCATCTTCTCGTATTTCTCATTTGGGTTTCACGGATTGGATTGCCAACGATACTAAACATGTTCGAAGTATTGATGCATGTGATTGCTGTCGGTAGCACCGCCCATTCGCGTATTGGTATGTGTGCGGAAGTTGCTGGTCGAGCGTGCATGACCTTACTTTCCGGCACACGTGCGTTCAATAGCATCTCCAATACACTCCATATACTTTTATGTACTCAATTTTTATCTAACTCATAAGGTCTCCCCATAGCCACTATAGGCCCGTATGTACGATAGCTTGAAACGCTTGATATCAGCCAACCGAGACAGATACACGTTTGGAATACGAATTAGGCCTGTGATAAAGTGAGTCTATGCAATACACGCGTGCCTGCTTACTCGGACCCGAAACACAAAAATGATTATACAGGTTTTAGTCCACATCGCCAACCGACCCGGAAATGAACTCTCTGACCATAGCCTTGTAAATTGGACACTCTCACACGCACAAAATACTGACAAGTCACAGAAATATTATAGCTAAATACGGACTACTGACCACAAGCAAAACACAACTGCAGCTGAACATCGCCAGGTAATTCGGGGGGGATACTACGATGTCCCAATTTACACTGTACATGAGTAGTAAGTAGAATAGCCCATAGTAAGAGCAACTTGACGCATGTTACTCGCTAAGCCACATTGATCCCTACAAGAACTTCTCACCGTACGTACCTGTTTCAGTAGACCGCTCATCGGTGGTGAGTCGTTCGAAGTTCAAGCTCATATCTTTCTCCGCTTGCGAGCCCCGTACACCGCCCACAAGCTGGGCGCCTTCTGTAAGACTTAACACACTCCCACTAGCCTCGGTATCTATAGTATGCTCAGTATCGCCCAGATCCTCACCTCTACTATGGTCCGAGGCCTCAGTCAACACTGCTTCAACCGACCCGTCTGCCTTTGTATCCGCCTGGGCAATCTTGCAAGCACTCTCAGCCGCCTCTATCGTATTGTCTCGGCCATCTGCAATAATGTCAGGCTTGTCCATCACTGACCCAGCATCCCTCGAATCATCGCCGTTTTGTTCTGTTTCTAAATCGACAGTTTGCATAATATCGCAGCTTTGTTGAACTGCTAGAGTCTCGGAGTTACATGTGTTGTCAGCCTCCTTTAAATCACCACTTTGTTGAACGATCGTCTCGATATCTTGCTTTGTATCATCTTGCCTCGTATCTTCGCCTGGTTGATTTTCTGTCTCCATATCTGAGATGTTTTCAGCCTCCTTTACATCACCACTTTGTTGAACGGTCGTCTCGATATCTTGCATAGTACTGTCCTGCTTTGTATCTACGCCTGGTTGATTTTCTGTCTCCAAATCTGAGATGTTTTCAGCCTCCTTAACATCATCACTTTGTTGAACGGTCGTCTCGATATCTTGCATAGTATTGTCTTCTTTTGTATCTTCGCCTGGTTGATTTTCCGTCTCAATACCTGGAATGCTCTCAGCCTCCTTAGCATCATCACTTTGTTGAACGGTCGTATCCGTGTCTTGGATGATTGTAGCCTCCTTTACACCTTCACTTGATTGAACGGTTGTCTCAATATCCTCCTCCGCAGTATTAGGTGGTTTGCTGGCTGTCTCAGTATCCGGCACAGTCTCTGTCTCAGTCGTGGTAGACAGGACTGGTCCCTCCACTTCACCGCCCACAATCGCTCTAACCTCCAAATCAGCATCATCCACAGCTTCTGTCGTACCATCACCGACGTCTATCTCCGTGTCGCTTGCGTGTGCTATATCGGCATGTATATTCTCTTCTATTTCGCGTGCGTGTGGTTTGTCTGTATATTTATCCACTTCCTTCTCGTATACATGACTGCTCGTGTCATCTACACCTACGTCAATGTCATCATCACCTAGTACTGCATCATGACCTGTGCCAACAGGAGTGTGTTGAGTAAAACTTGAACCACCCGTTAAATCCTCCTGCGCACCCTTCCCGTGCACACTACTCAACACCAAATTCGTCGGTGTTCCGGGTTTGCTCTTGCGTTGTATTCCTTTTCTTGTATTCGCACTACGGCTGATACTATTTGCGCTCTGAGGTAATGCAGTCCTCTCTGCTGCATCTCCCGCTACTTCACGGTCCTTCGTGTCACACAATACCTTAGCACTCTGAGGCCTCTTTCTGTGTGTACCAGCGTTTACATCACCTACCGTATTCCCTCTACTGAGTTTGTTCAGGCTCATGTGATCGTACGAGAATATCTGGCCGCCCATAGCGAATACGGGCATGTTCAAGGCACTCTGCACATTGCGCAGTCTTCTGCCACTACCGGATGATACACTCTTCACACTGCGACTTTCTTGTGCATCACTAATAGATGCGCTCACTGTATCACTTTCGTGTGCGTTCTTGTCAGATGTACCTATTATATCGGTACCAGCATCCCCATCTTCAGCCTTGAGTGTTACTTCCGACGCATTGGACGCTTGGGACTGTCTGGAGGCTGCGGAGATACGCTGTTCGCTATTTTCAGAATCCCCGTCATCTGGTAGGCCTTCAAATACACCCCCTAGATCAGCTGTGCTGTCAGGTGGATTTCCGTATTCTGGAGTCTTGGACATATTGTTATAATTACAAGACACATGGGCTGTATTTCTAGACTGACCTATTGTCGGTCATGTATACATGCCGATGTGCGTTTATAACACTAGGTGAAACTCGCATTTATTTTGACATTTTCTGCGGGTAATACGTAATAGCAGGCTTAACTGTATGCTTATTCTGACTGTATCAACCTCGACGGCTTACTAATAAAAGCGGAACACATACACTCCACCGCCAAACTTGTGTGGTCTACTGCATGCTTTGACACCTGGAAAATCCTACAGCGGTAACCTCCAGCGTAAAACACGTCAATAATAATAAGTAAATGCGCAATTCACGGCGAAAGAATCGTCTGGGTTGCAGCATACACAGGAACATATATCAATTATAAACCATGTCTACTAGTAGAACCACTAGAATAAACAGGAACATATATCAATGTGTTATCAGTTGGCTATGATTAAATATAAACTAGGTCTGCTAGTAGTAGAACCACTAGAATGGCATCGATATGTATCACCTCACCTGCAGCAATATCTCGTATCATCGTCCATCAGCAGCCACTATAATAAATAGTATCATTACGTGTCATCCTTTTTTTTTTACATAAATATTTTATTTGTTTTTTTTTTCCCGGGTACATGGTAGTATATTTATTATGCGATGACGATATGACGCTCTCTGTATTTAGTAGTAGGTGCATCATGCGTGACTATAAACGAGGTCTACAAGCACTTGCTTTTATTTCGGTGTCTTCAGTGGGATAACCGTCTTTATTATACTACTATGAGACTTGAGAAATAAATACATGTCGCAATACCGCGTATACCACACTCCAGAACCGTAAAATAAAAGCTCTATCCCTAGTTCCTCTTCATCGCTTTATGAGTCTCCAGAAGTATGAACACCAATTCAAACGTTGCTATATTTTCTTTACGCGCCATGCTGCATAGATGTAAAAAATCACAACCGTGTTGTAATGTTACAAGCGTAAGTGGAGGCCTATAGACGGTACTGCCACATCGATATTCGCAACTTACCATAGGCGCGTATAGACATATACGTACTCCAACGTACTTCAAATTATATATCAATATAT